TTCATTTTCCCTAAGATAAACTTTTAGAAACTAAATTACAACTTCCTCGAAATTAAATTTGTAATTTAATTTAAAAACTAAAAAAAGAAAAAGAAATACGTAGCAGGAAAAATGGATGAGAACTAGTTTGAGTTGAGATTGTCACAAATGGCATATCAAGGACATTTAATGCAACTGCAACAACCCAATTCATAGATCTTCAGTAATATATTGTCCATGAAATTATCATTTCCTATGAACAAAGAGCTTTGAAGATTCAAGCTCAGCAAGTGATAGTTTGTGTAATGACTTCTATGGCAGGTCTCTAAGCAGCTATAGGGCCAAAACAAAGGTATTTCAGTATAAAAAAATAAACAGTATGAACCTGTGGCATGCACAAAAATGGAAGGTTGGACTTGTTGCTTGTAACAATGGAGGCTGTGTGGCCGAGTCTCGAGTCCTGCAACAGCGACACAACCAAGAAGATGGCTACTGAAATTAGTCTATACGCCATACAATCTTCAATCTACCGAGTTAAAACTAAAACTAATACTATACACACGGAATGCATGAGTCTAGTGGTTTTAACTTCAAAACTTCGGAAGTATCAGTGGATCGATCAAGTCTTGCATGCATGAAACAAAAGGAAGTTGTGAAAGTTAAGAACGAGAATGATCCCATTTGATAACTATTTGACTTTTTCTTTCTCTACATTTTCTTACTATAATAGAAAAAACAAAAATAAGTTTTTTAAAGCTAGAAAACTACTTTTAGCTTTAAAAACTTGACTTGGTTTTTCTAAGACATGGTTAAAAGTAGATGATAAAACAAAAAAAAAAAATTATTGGTCAAAGTAGGATGCATAACCTAGACAAGGTGGCTAAATGTCACAATCCAAAGAGCGGTTGTTCCCCTAAGTAAGTCGTCGAAGACGATGACTAGTTTAAGTGGGGGAGAATATCACAGCCTAACAGTGGTTGTGCCCCAAGTAAGTCATCGAGGACGATGACTAGTTTAAGTGGGGGAGAATATCCCAACCTATCAGCGGTTGTGCCCCAAGTAAGTCATCGAGGACGATGACTAGTTTAAGTGAGGGAGAATATCACAACCTAACGGTGGTTGTGCCCCAAGTCATCGAGGACAATGACTAGTTTAAGTGGAGGAGAATGTCACAACCTAACAGTGGTTGTGCCCCAAGTAAGTCATTGAGGACGATGACTAATTTAAGTGGAGGAGAATGTCATAACCTAACAGTGGTTGTGCCCCAAGTAAGTCATCGAGGACGATGACTAGTTTAAGTGGGGGAGAATGTCACAACCTAACAGCGGTTGTGCCCCAAGTTATCGAGGACGATGACTAGTTTAAGTGGAGGAGAATGTCACAACCTAACAGTGGTTGTGCCCCAAGTAAGTCATTGAGGACAATGACTAGTTTAAGTGGAGGAGAATGTCACAACCTAACAGTGGTTGTGCCCCAAGTAAGTCATCGAGGACGATGACTAGTTTAAATGGGGGAGAGAATGCACAACCTAATAGTTGTTGTGCCCCATAAGTCATCGAGAACGATGACTAGTTTAAGTGGAGGAAAATGTCACAACCTAACCGCAGTTGTGCCCCAAGTAAGTCATCGAGGACAATGACTAGTTTAAGTGAGGGAGAATGTCACAACCTAACTATTTCACTAGGAAGACGGTAGATTGTGACCCTCACGTTACGACAAGAGAAACAGCGACCCTCGCATGCTTATTGCTTTCACTAAAATGAGACATTCAGTAACAGCTACTCGATCGAGTGTAAAAAGGACAACATGAAAGCTCAAAAGACTAAAATCAAAACAATGGGTCAAAAAGATGAGAAATGCAGGTCTCGAAACGTACTCTGATAACTCATTCATCTGTTAGTGTTGCTGTTGTTTCTCCAAAAAGAGAGCCGAGGAAATTGTGAAATTAGAGACTCCACAACTCTTGCAGGGCCTGTTTTATGTGTTGATTCTTTTCCATCAACCTGAAGATCAGCATCCTTCCAAAACTTTATCACATGAAGACTCTCTTCTTCAGTTGATCTCTGCACAACGATTCTACTAGCATAGCCCTTTTCTCTCATTTGAAGGCATATCTGAGAGGGATTATTTGCTGTAAGGGTAACCATATACAACCAGCCTTTGTCAGACAAAAGAACATCGGCAACAAGCAATATCCTATCAATGACACTGCGGCCGTTCTCCCCTCCTGCCCAAGCCGAGGCGATTCCATCACGACCCACTTCGTCCTCTGGCGTCGGAACATAGGGCGGATTCACAACCAACACATCAACTGATCCAGCCAGACGCTTCTCCAAACCAGATGCAATGTCAGTGGATACCAACTCGGCATGAACCCCATGTGCTTCAAGAGTCTCCTGGGTGACTCTAATGGCATGAGGATTGATGTCTGTAGCAATATAGTGAGCCCCAGAAGCTTCCTTTCCCAGCATAAGAGCAAGAGATGTTATAACATAGCCACTACCACAGCCAACTTCTAAGCACAATGTTGGATGATGATTTAACAAGTTAACTCTCTCAGCTAAAAGTGCATCAACCAAAGCAAACGAATCATCACAGGGTTCATAAACCTCACGATGAGAACTCACTAGGTGGATTTGTGCAGTTCTGAAAGAGGACATGTGCTGGACCTGTCATGAAAATATGAATAATAAGAGATGAGCGATTGTCAAAATATATGTGTGTGTTCATAAGAAACAATTGTATCCAAAAGAAAAGGCCACCAAAAAAAGTGAATGGCAGGAAGTGAAACCAAATCCAAGCAAGGGAGATAGCTGAGTGCACTCTCTAATACCACTTGTTGTGTCGTAATGCCACAACCTTCGATGCTTTGATACCAATTATTGTACTCTAAATGCCACAACCAAAATGTTAAGGTACCCAATTGTTGTCGTGGAAGCGGAAGCGGAAGCAAGATCGATTGTACTCACACACCCACAAACAGAAATTAAACAAAAAGACAAAGATTTACGTGATTCGAAGAGAAAAACTTCTCCTACACCTACGAATGGTAGTCAATCACTATAACCAAAGTGTTTACCAGTACATCTCTAAGAGTAGAGTGGGGGAATGAACAATCTTTTATATAAGAACCATTACAATTTTTATATTGAGAAAACCGATCACAACTTCCGAATGTACGAATCTCAATAGTTCTTTCTCAGATGGTTCCCGGACAATCTCCGAGCAATTCCCGGAAATTTATGGTATAATAACGTGTTCCTACAGGTCAATATCAGAACCGTCACTTCAATCAGCAATTGAACACCGATTTCTCATTTTCAAAAGAACACAAGAAAAAGACAGATAAAGTAAGTCGAGAAGTAAAATGGAAGCAAAATCGATTCAATTTTCTCGGAAACCATCCAGAAAATCGAACTACTCGATTTGGATTCCAGCACATGAGCAAAAAGCAACAAACAGATAAATTTTATACGAACACATTTCAAACAAATTATTGGAGTTCAGCGAGCGATTAAGCACAAAATCAATCAGACTGGAAAAGGAGCAGTTGAAATCAAAAGAAAGATAGAGAATGGATACAATACCAGGAAAGGAGAACGGAGGCGCGAGGAAACGGGAAATAAACTGGAAGGCTGAAGATAGGGATTAATGGTGGGGGACAGAAAGTGAACAGTGGGATTGAGGAAGATTGAATGCTGGACCCTCAACGAGAAGTTGCAGAAGAATGCAGTGAGTCATACGGCGGAGGTAAAAGAGGAGCGGTGAGGCAGTGAAGTTGCAGCACCGACGAGTGGACGCGGCGGCGGGAAAAAGGATGCCGGCGGGGAGTTGGTGGAGATAGGAAGAAGGAAAATGTGTGCGCGGCTGGGGAAACGGAGGGGAAAGCAAAATGGGGTTTAGGTTTTTACAATTATTTTATTTAACGTTAAATTACAATTTTATTACTTAAAAAAAGAATATTGAAACAAATTTTAAAAATTATCCTTTTTTTATTTTTTTTTATTTTGCGTCCCATAAATTTAAAAAAAAAAATCATTTTTTAAAATGTAAATTGATTTCTTAACATCAATCAAATTCATTAATTAAATTTATAATTTAAAACTTTTTAAAATCTATAAATAAATAAATAAATTAGAGTTCTCGGGATTCAAGCGTTACAAGCTTTAAATAATGAGTAATTATAAAGGTAAGTTTTTTTAATATAATTTTACTAAAAATGAAATGTCGAGGCTAAATTATTTATGATACACCGACTATGATATTAGTTTTAATTGTGTCATAATGACTTAGAGACAATTTTTGTATTAATCAACTGAATAGTGCTCAAATTGGTAGTTTTGCATCTCCAATTTGATTCAAATATGTCAACACAATTATTTTATCGTCAAAACAACGTAATTGTTAAGTTGCAAACGAAATAGTGATAGAACACAACTTTTGAGAAAAAGAATAGAAGGACCAGAACCTATAACTTCTTGCTTGAGGGCATATGACTTATCTCACTGATTGATGCTGAAATTGTTGGATACACAAGTTATTAGGCCGGTATAACAAATATCTGATTCTCTCCCAACGAACATGATTCTGTAGATAACATATTATACCTTTAGTGTAGAAAATATTTTTTTTAATAAGAGAATCTTATCGATGATTGAAATTTACAAAAGGAATGCAGTATTCATGAAGTTTACAAAAGGCATACGATATAACTTAGTAAACAACATTGTCGAAGAGTTTTTGCATCGACCCAAGCCCACCGCTTGCAAATGCTGTCCTCTTCGTACTTTTCATTTCGAGCTTTCCCTCATCATTTTTAAAACGTGTCTATTCAAAAGAGATTTCCACACCCTTACAAAAAATATTTTGTTCTCCCCAACCGACATGAGATCTCATGGTTTTGTTTAAGAATATGTCAACATAAAACAGGAAAAGGTAGGGAGAACTCTCAAGCCAAGCTAAAGAAAGTAACATAAAAAGCTTCAAAATCAGCACATAGAACAGGAGAGCTTACACCAAAATAGAGAAACAAGCAGCTAAGATCTTCAATCCTCAGGTGTGAAAATTAGAGTTTCCAAGTTACATCAGAACTATAGCAAATGAATTTTACAGTCAGTTGTAGCATTCATTATTTGGTAATGCAACTAATAACATTATCTATCTGTGACCTTTCATTTCTATCCTATTTCCTGGCTTACAATATCGGTTAGACAGCACGGACACTCTAATTCGTTCGTAGATTAAGAACCATTAGGACAACAACAGTTCGATATCGGGCAACGACGTTGACCAATACTCAGCTCTAAAGGGTTTTGAGATGCCAAGAGTCCAGGAATATGACTAATTTACATAAACCTGTGCAATCGCAATCAATCTAACTGGCAGCACGCTGTAGTGGAGGCCAAGCGATCTCGTCGTCTATATAGCCATGAATGAGGAAATCAGAGCAATTCTTTCGACATCCATGGTTATATGGATTCCGAAATTTCCCATCTGGACCACGAAGATATCCATAGCGAATGGCATTTGACACTTCGTTAGTGGTGATATTTCGTGCTATCTGCATCAATGAAGATCGTTCATCATTCTATCAACAATAATATACTAGTTCGGAAACGAGGTATTCCCATGATTATGTTAGGTTATATAATACCTTTCAATCTTTAAGAACACTCAGAAAACACACAAAACACATAATATGGATAAACCCACACTGTTCTATTGAGAGTTCTAACTTAGAGACCCTAAAAATAGGCTACAAACCAGACTACGAACAAATAAACTATGATAACACAGTTGACCACAAGCAACTAAAAAAAGATCTCATAAGCGCTAATTGCCAACAATTCAAGGTTACTGCACAGTAACACAGTAAATGAAATAAAGGGGCTTTAAAGAACATGGCCAAGAAGAAATTAAGGAGCTAAGCTGAAACCAAACTATACCCAAAGCCAGGTCGAAACCATCAGGAGCGTGACAGGCGGCAAGATCTGACACAAAAAGTGGAATGGATCTTGAAGTGTGGAGGAAGATCAACCTTATAGGCATTAGGATCAAAGCGTTCCAGAGAATAGGAAAAGGGCTAACTTGCTTTGGAAAAAGTTCGCCGTGAACTCCGGTAGGCAGCCGTGAGTTCCTTAGAACCATGACTAGGTCTCCAACTACAGAAGACTTGGGGCAGCGGTGTAAATAATCAGCCTAACCTCCAAATGGTCGTGAACCTCTTTGTGAAGTTCGGCAATACGTTCACCAATCTCCTTGGCTTCCTGATGCACATTCAAAGAAGATGGTACTGTAGCCAGGTCCTAGGTAAAACTAGGAAGTTTAGTATTACCAAACTCTTCGAGATGGTAGTGCACATCTCAAATGGTGACATTCCTGTTGATTGATTCCTCATATATAAGCAAACTCCGCTTGAGGAAGAGCAAGGTCTAATTGGCGCGGCTTATCCCCACAAAGGAAACAAATCTTTGCCAAGAGTTCGCTTAGTTATTTTGGTTTTGTCTATCGATTTGAGGATGACTTGAGGAACTGGGTAACGAATGCTTTCTACTAAGTGCATTAGCCACTTTGTTAGTTTTTTTCGAACCTTGTGTTTAATTAGGAAATCAAACTTTTGAATAAATATGATCCATTTAGAAAGCATCCTTCTTATAGCCTTTTTTTGTGTGAAGAAATTCATGAAAATAGTGATCTGTTAAGAGTATAAGCTCCTTTCATAACAAGTAAGGATCCCATTGTTTATGGGCTCTAACTAGGGAATAATGTTCTTGCTAGTCGGTGCTCCATTTTTGCCTAGAATTTAAGTTTTTCACTGAAATATTCTATGGAGTGATTAGCTTGAGACAATATTTCACTGAAATATTCTATGAAGGACATTAGCCTAAAAAGCCTAAAATGATGAAGTTCACTGACGGGTTTTTTGGTGACAGGTTGAGAAACTAGTCTACAGGTTCCTCCAAATTCAATCCAGTAGGTTGAGATCGACCAAATGTGTAATGTTATTAAGAACGTTAAGAGTAAGAAGTTATCGTTGTCCAATCCTATCATGAAAACCAGAGGTTCAATATGTCCTCAGATGTATATGGTTCCAGAAGATGCGACTAAAAATACTATATCTTGTTATGGAAAATTGAGCTACAGTGTTGGTTTTGACAATTACCTGAGATGCCTGAGCCACGGTCAAAGTTGTGGCAGCCAAAAATATGATACCGTCCAGAAAAAGAAATATAACGACTCCGGGATAATGAACTACCACATGAAGAAACCAAGTTTCTCTGGTTTGCAATGCTGAAGGCACTTCATAGATTCCTGCAATAGAAGAGAAAGCTCATACCAATTTCAAAAGAAGAAAAGTGATGTCTTAAACAAACTTGTATCATTCACTTGTCTCAAATGACATACTTTTTATGGCAATACAGCCAGCAAGGAGTGATGTCAAAGTTCCCAAACAGACGAAGACCAAAAAATCCCGTTTATTCCGCTGCAAAGTATCATAAAAAATTAAGGGAATAAAGTTGTCAGATCATCAGAGTGACATGAAGCTATATAGTCGAAATGCGTCTCTTAGATCATCTATTTATATGCAATAACTGCAATAGTTCACACAGAATTATCCCTTAATCCATCTAGTTGTCTATGTAATTTCAAGAATAAGATCCACAAATGAATAACACATCCAAGATCAAAATTAAAAACAAGCAGATCTTCCCACCTTCCCCACACAATTAGATATCCACGGGCAGTGATGGTCAAACTGTTCCACACATCGATTACAAGTAGGACAGTGCTTCGAACGAACGGGTCTAATTATCTGAAAGAAACGTGATAGTGTCAACTTAGATCACCAGAGAAAATACGTTCATTAATATACCACAAAATTATGTCCCTTTAAAGATCATTTTTTATCAAAGGGTTTCTGAAATAAACCTTGCAAGTGGGGCATAGTTGAGACCAATTCCCCATCCATACTGAAGAATTGTTGAGATCAATGCTCAACAAAGGATCCTGAAAAAATGCAAGAAATTCAATTATGTAATAAAATATAATAGTAAACTACAAGTAATAAACGAATGAACAGGTTTTCCATTAAAAATCAAAACACTGAAATTCCTCAAACAGAGACTCATATACCTCTGTATTGGCAGGATTGCCCAACTCCTCGGGTCTTTTTATGTAGCCTGGATCCTTGCTGCACATAATAGTAAAAACTACCATTATTTTTTTTTTTTAAATGAGGAACAATTCCATTATTCAAGATTCAAGATTACAAAAAAGAAGGATACAGTATTGTATCCTCACTAGGAACCAAGGATATTACAAATCGATATCATTGCTGTTGATCCAAAAATCGTTATGGCAGTTGGCATGGTAACATATAAAGGGAACCTACTTGTAGGCTCTTGCCATCATTATGATGTTCATAAGTCTTGTAATTGCAATCAATTTCTATAAGCTTTTGGATTGAACATGATTTATAACTGAGTCATTTGGGGGAGAAATTATAAGAATCACTCATATAAATAATAAGGCGTCAAGAGAACTGATCAAACAAGTTACAAAGATAGAGAATGAGCATGTGCCAGGTAGGTTAGGGAATTACCTACTACACGTATAAAACATTATCATAGCAATAAATGCCAAACAGAGGGCCGCCCATGCCCAAAGTCCAACAACAGCAGTAACCTTCGCAAGATTAGAGCCTACAGTCAATAATAAGTCAGACATATTCTCCAAGTAAAATAGACATTTTCAATGAGAAGATAACTTGCCTCCAAGAACTGAGTTGATGAAGAGGATCACGAGAATGATGATGATACATAGTAAAATAGGGGCATAACCAAAATTTTTAATCTTCCTAGTACAAAATTTTGCTCCAAAGTGGCTGTGATGTGTCCGTTGTGCTTTAGACTATAAAGATCAGAACACCCAATATCATATCAGCTTGGAAATGATCTAAACAAGTCAATAAAACCTTCATTATTAAAAAGCAAGCCACATTTTTGTTCGGAAACATACGAGGAAATTAGCAATTTGCCGATGACCTTTATCAGATGCAAGCTGGAAAGGAGTATAACCGGCATTGTCTTTGATCAACAATTCTTGCTTTGTTCCGGCATGCACAAGAACAGTACATGCCTCCACATTTCCACTTAATGCAGCCCAATGCACAGGGGTACAACCTAATTACAAAGCATAGAAGAACTTGTGAAACCTAAGGCAGAATAAGTAGATGAATCAAGATATAGACAATTAACTATTTAAATAATTAGCGTGTCCCCTGCCATAAACTGAACAACCTGGTGGGGTGATTAGATTATCGCTACAAGTGCAATAAGTAATTGTTATCCTGTGCAAAACCAACCACTTAGAGACCTTAGTTTTCTTTCTCAAACAATTTAACTCATTTCAAGCCCTTATTCAAGAACTGAAGATAATAGTTTGCTTCAAAACAAAGCTTAAGAAAATTGTATCACATCTTTGAAGCTGTCATACTGAAAGATATGACTGGCAAATTTACCATTATGAAGAAATCAATTTAAAAAAAAGTGTACATGGGGGAAGCCCTAAAAATGAAGTACAGAGCATATGGTGACACGGAAAAATACACACGATGGCTTTTATTCCCCTTTTTTTGGATGTGTCAACGTTGGATATACGAAAAGATAGCCAAAACTATCACAGGACTTTCCAGAGCTTAAAATTTGAAAGGGCATTTTTCTTCTCTATCTAACCCAGGAAGATGATCACACTCGAAACGACACTAGTAAAAACTTAAAAAAAAATAGAAATCAGAGAATAACACTGGTCTCAATTCAGAAATGCATGTGTAGTATACCTTCTTTATCTTGTCTTCCTTGGCTTGCATCTCTGAATAAAAGAAGTCTAATTGTATCTGCAAATCCTTTGTATGCAGCCCTGATTGAAACCATGAGATGAACTTTCGTTCTGAAGCGTCTAGATATATTTTAAATGAAGAGACCGAAAAACAAAAGAAACCATATAATATTGATAAAGAGAAGACATTTGTACGCCCACCCTCTACCTTTGGTTCATCAATCAGTATAGGTGAACAAGAGAATAAATAACTTTTTACACAATTTGAATGGCCAGAAAATAAAGTCCAATATTGAATGTGAAACAATCAATCATTTGAAACAGTCGAGAGTTTGACATCTTAATACAACCAAGTCAACAATCCCTTATAGGAGAGATAATTCAATAAATATTAATATTTGAGAGCTCGAGAAACCACATACGATGTTGACCTTATAAAAAATCCTTTCTGACTTCATTATAAAGATAAATCTTCCTCAGTTCAGTTTCCAGAGGTTTGCATTGAATTATATCCCTTACTAACAAATGATGAACTTTATAGGCCTAGATTAATCTTTGCCAGATCAAAATTGACCAAAACTCAGTAGGAGATTGAAAATATGCTAAATAGAAATATTATAATACAGTAGGTGGATATACCAAGCTTTCCATTTAGAGATGTATGCATGTATGCATCGTAACACAGTTGCTACAATTACCAAGTATACCTTCAGATAAGATTTATTTCAACCATCCCAGTTTTGAATACTACAGATGTCAGCAGCTAAGATAAACCAAAAAAGAAGTGGGAAAGGGATGTTATCGATCTCTACACTTAATTGTCTTGGTTCAAATGCTTAAAACGATATACAGAGTATTTATTGTATATATCCAAAGGCTTAGGGCATACCAATGAAGAGGACTCCTCCCTTCATTATCTGGAACGTCAAAGTCAGCGTGGAATTTGGCAACAATGTGATTCAAGAATGCAGTCTGTCCATATTGAGCAGCAACATGAACTGCCTGCATTTCATGCCGAAATGCACAAATTTGGGTCAAACGGAGCGCAGAAAATTTATGAATAATAATGATGAATAAAAATAAAATCAATTGAACAGTACATGACGATGAATGAAGTGAACAGCCCATCATGAGGATGAATGAAGGCAACAGTCTATAAACAGAATGGGTTTTTAATACGATAAATCAAAATAAACTAAGATGCTGAAAATGGACAATACTATCGTTCGGTGAGTGTATATTATGAGAAACCAAACGTTCATCGCTTAATATCATGGCAACCATAAATTTTCTTTGCAAATGCATTCTGAATACTATTCTACAGTTTTAAATACGAAATTCACAATATATCAGAGATCCCCTCATTAGTAATATCATTAATTCATACTCCACTAGATTTGAGACTGGAAATCCTCTACATTAAAATTTAAAATATAATATCACGAACAAAAATACATGAGCTCATCTCTATGTAAAAAGCATCTGAGGTTCACAATTAACCACAACTTTCAGAAGAAATATCATATATGTGAAAACTGACCTCGTATTGTCAATATCTAACCAAATCAAAAGTTGCTAAATATTCAAAGTTACCCGATACCCATTTATATCAGCTGCCTCCACTCGAGCTCCATTCAATAGGAGTACGTCCGCAGCCATAATTGAACCTCGAACTGCTGCCCAGTGAAGTGCTGTCTGCTGCAATTTGTCACAGGAATTGACATCCGCTCCATGCTGATCAAATCAATCATCAAAAACTTTGGTAGGGAACTGACATAAACCTCAAAAGACCATCAATTTAAACTTCTTGAGCAACATAAAAAATGCCCTAATGCTATGAAATTCATCAATACAAAAATCCAACACATGCACTTCCTCCACATCCAATAAATTTTATTCTTCTTCCTCTATCTGGAACGACACATAAATCAAGCTACGCCAGCTTTACGTTACATAAAACAAGTCAACTGACTAAACTCAAAACATGCAATATAACAGGGACGATCAATCTACATCCAACAATCTAGACAACCAGAGTATCATTAAAATCAAGTAGGCAAAAAGAGTCATAAAAAAAAACCTCAATGATGTACTGGACGATATCAGGGAAGTTGTTTAAAGCAGCCCATTGCAAAGCATAGTACCCATTGGAATCAGGAACCAAAACAGAAGCTCCATGCTCTTCAACGAAACTCCTCACTTTCTGGAAGTCGCCATAAGCAGAAGCAGAATAAACGTCTACAATGGCAACTTCAGGGTTTGTCTGAGATTTCGAGTTGGGTGATGCTACAACCTCAATCTCAGACGAAGCCATGCGAGGAAAAACTTGAGAAGAGACCAGGGAGATAGCTGATTGCACTCTAGAGTACCAAGGAAAATAGCTAAGAGTGAAATTTTGTGTACAAAAATATAAACGACAAAACAAAACCTTCTCTGCACGGTATCGATGCAAAGATGGAGAAAAATTAATAACCAACAGAGTACAATTATCATGGGTCTCATTCAACCATAGAAACTATCAGTTTGGGCAGAACATAACAGAACGATTCCACTGTTTGATAGGAAAAAAAAGGACAATAAAGAATCGAACAATCATATTGATATAAGAACAATTAAAAAAATTCTTGAAAACGCCAATCATATAGTTTTGCAAACGGTTCCCAAGTAATCATTCCAAAAATTCCCAGAAGAGATTTAGTAGTCTTCGGTGAAATAAGCGCATATTCCTAAAAGTTCCATCAAAACCATCACTAACCTATTTCACTTTAATCAGATCAAACTAGTCAATAAGAGCAAGTCACAACAAAATACTCCTCAATTCGATTTGAGACGAACCCGTCAACACAAACAAACAACTCAATTCGACAGCCACATAAATTTGACGCACCAGTTTCATTTCGAATTCTGGATACTCGAAACAAATTACCATAATTCAGCGAAGTTCCCAAAAATCAATCATAAGGGAAAGCAAACAAATGCAGTCAAACAAACAAAAAAAAGATAGAGAAATGAATTCAATACCAGGGAAAGAACGGGGGGGTCGAGACAACTACTGCGAGGAGATGGAGAAAATTAGAGAAGTTCCATGGAATCTTCGAAGGCGGGCGTGAAGTGAAGACTGAAGAAGCAGGATCGACGAGAATTAAGCAGTGGGATTTGACGGAATGTTTCTGAAAGAGATTGAAAAAAATGATACACACCAAAAAACTCTCCTTTTCTTTTCATTCTTACCAAATAGGTCCATGAACCTAGTTTTGCAATTTTTTTTGTATGTATATATATATTGGTTAGGGTTTGTAAAAGAAGATATAAGAGATACTTACTTGCGACGGAGAAATTTGAAAATGAACGTTGAGTGCTATAGAGAAGCGTTGAACGCCCTAAATATAAACGGATAGTAGTTGATCTGACACAAAGGTTAAGTCTTGGAGAGGTTTGTAAGTGCTAAATATGAATGGAACGAGAGATCGTAGCAGAACCTAAAAGAAGTTAGGGGTCGTGAGAACTCGATCGTGTTAGGATGTGCTTGTTGGAGTTTGAGAATAGAGGATCATACCACGAGTATCATGCATGATGTAGTTGTGTTATGAATGTGATATATATGTGTTAGCTTGTATATGAGAAGCATGATCCTTAGTGATACGTGCATGTGGTAAGTTGGTTGGTTAGGGTTTGAAAAAATGATATAAGAGGTACTTACACGGGATCGAGAGATTTGAAAATGAACGTCGAGTGCTATAGAGAAGCGTTGAATGCCCTAAGTATAAATGGGTAGTGGTCGATCTAACACAAAAGTTAAATTTTTGAGAGATTGGTAAGTGTTGAACAAGAATGGAATGAGAGATCACACGAAACCGGAATATATGTTAATGGGTCAAGAGAGTTACGAGAGGTCGTGAGGACTTGGTCGTGTTTGGACGAGCTTGTTAGAGTTTGAGATTAGAGGTGGTTGAGTATACCACGAGCATCATGCACAATGTAACTGTATGTATTAACGTGATATATATGTTTAGCTTGTATACGAGAAGCATGATCTTTGTGATATGTGCACGGAATGCATTACTAACCCACCGCTAGATTTTGTCAATGATGACGACACAATGAGCTTTACTTTTATGCAGTTTAATTAGTTTTAGAGTATTGTTACTCGATCATTTTGTATTTACTTTGTTTATATATTCAAATTCTCACCTCACATATTAAACGAACAAACTCGAATATTTGATATTTTAAGTAATGTATTTTAGGGTTTCGTTAGATTAGTTGTAGTTTTGTTGACAAAAAAAAAAAATTAAAAAATATATTTAAAATTTTCAATAATACATTTAATAAGAAATCCGCCTAAAGAAAAGTTTGATACTAAATGAAAAGAAAATAACTACAAGGAGAGTGAAATTAAGATTATCTTGTTGATCGAATATCTCAACACAAAAACATTTTATTGAGATTCGAATCACTCTACGAGCAAGATTGATCATGTCGAACTTGATTCTACAACTTAAACTAAATAGAATTGCAAATAAACTTAGTCATTGACTAAAGTAAAACACAAATGCTCATTTTTCCATATTTTCCCGGTCTACTTACAAATAGAACATACATCATTTTATATAGTCTAAAAATGAAAACTCTCAACCTTCTCGGGCTTTATGACCATAATTAATCACTATGTAAATAATCTTTAAAATACATTAAAGAAACTGTAGCTCTAAATTACTCCAAATTATGATCTACCCAAAATTTATAACAATGAAACTTCATTCTTCTTTAATATGATATGAATCGAAATATCTTTTGATAATTTAAACAACATTTTTTTCACATTTTTACAATATTCTTAAATTTTAAAAAAATTATAAGATATAATTTTAAAATTTAAAAAATTCATTATTAATTTTTTTAGTATGAATATTATTAAAAGTTTTTAAAATTAAAAAGTGGTTTGAGAATATTTTTAATATTTTAGCTAAAAAAAATTATTTTATGATTTAATTTTTAATTTTAATTAATTTATTTTTGAGAAGGTATAAATGTAATTTGACGAATCAAGCGGCCACATACATTCTCTCTCTCTCTCTCTCTCTCTCCTCCAGTCTATGGTGTCCATTTGTTTTGTGGTTCTCTCTCAAAATTCCCTATAAAAGCCTCACTTCACTCTGCTCCAGAGGCCTCTCCCTAATCCTGCAGATTTTCCTCTCTCTATCTGAGCTATGGCCGCCGCAAGAGTCTTAGCCAATGCCACCACCACCACCACCACCGCCGCCGCTGCCTCCTGTTTTCTCTCCAAGACCTCTTTTCTCCCCAAGCATACCCTCCCATTCAACTCCAATTTCATTTCTCTCTCCAGAACATTCCCTTCCTCCAGAAAATCATTCTCCTGCAAAGCTTTGTACATCCCTGAGGTTAAGACTAAGGAGCAAGGCCAGCCTGAAACCCTCGACTATCGCGTCTTCTTCACTGATCAGTCCGGCAAAAAGGTGCGCTCCCTGTTTTTTTTTTTGTTTTTTTTAATGTTCTTTTTCCGTTTCTGTATCGGCATGTTACTCGATGGATTTGAATCTCTATTTGTCGTTTTGAGAATTGTTTGTGTTTTGGTAATGAATTTGATGAATTGTTTGGGTTGTAAGGCGAATGGTTTTGATTGCAATTACGAATTGGATTGCCATTTCGAATTTTGGTTTGGATGGATCTTTAGAATTTCATGAACTATGATTGATTGCGAGGATGCAGATCTTGGATTACGGACCCTGTTTTTTTGTGTGTGTTGGTATATATCCCATATGCAAGCGGACACCTTATACGAGTAGGCATTCGTGATTTGGGATTGATTTTTTTCTTTGGAACTCTATAAGTGTCAGATATTAATCATGTTAGCGTTCTGTGTGGGTTGCATTATGTTTGTGGAACCTTTTTTTTTTGTTTTCCAACTCTTACAAAATTGAAAATTTGTTCGTTTGAACACTTTTTTCATGGCTTATAAGTTATTGTATTCTACGTTCTCATATGAACTAACAAGAATGCTGCACTCTTTTACATTTTATTTCATCATGTCATAAAGGAAGTGCCATTTATGGTGTAGGTCTCCCCTTGGCATGATATACCACTGCATTTGGGGGATGGTGTTTTCAACTTCATTGTTGAAATTCCTAAAGAAACCAGTGCAAAAATGGAGGTTGCAACAGACGAGCTGTTCACTCCTATAAAGCAAGATACCAAAAAGGGAAAGCTTCGATACTACCCGTAAGAAACGATGTGTTTGTTGCTTAGCTTTGCTACATATTATTGCTGGGCCTCTATGGGGTACTGAAGTTTGTTAGACTTAGGCATGATATAATAAGTTAGCTGTTGGCCAAGTGCCTACTCGTATAAATGGATGGTTGTGGTAAGCATAACCCAGTGGCTGTATCCTGTTTTTCTCATTGATAATGCTAGTGTTTGTCCATCATAGTGTAGCAACATTTTTCATTTCGTTCTGTAATACTTATTTTTTTTAGAGAACATCGTGTAAAAGATTTTTCTACTTCAGTTCCAGTTGTCAAAATATCCATTTCAGCCTCCACTTATAGATTTTTGAAAAGAATTTGAATCTAGGAGGGTGGACTATCTTAATGTAATAGCCCAAGCCCACCGCTAGTGGAATTGTCCTCTTTAGGCTTTCCCGTTCAGGTTTCCCTCAAGGTTTTTAAAACGCGTCTGCTAAGGAGAGATTTCCATATACTTAAAAGGGTGTTTCGATGTTTCGTTCTCCTCCCCAACCGATGTGGGATCTCACACTTAAGTAGTTGTAACCATATATACTATCTTTCCACCTCTTGTTTCTTGAATGTTTATATCCGTATATAAATAAAAATTGCATATCATGTGGAACGAAGGAATTTGAATCTTTGACCTCTTTGAAGAAGCAAAGATGCCTCAATGGTCAAGCTATGCTCATGTTGGCTCATGCATAGTTTTTATGTGTCGTTTTTTTTAAATAATTAGTTTGAGACTCTTGCATATGACACTTGATTTTCAAATACCGTCTCTTTTAATACTTAACCACTTGATTGCTATGTCTCACAGTTACAATATCAACTGGAATTACGGATTACTTCCACAAACATGGGAAGATCCATCCTTAGCTAACTCTGAAGTTGAAGGTGCATTTGGAGACAATGATCCCGGTATGCACCACAGGCTGTTTTCCTTGAACTTTCTTTTTAGCTTTTGTAACTTCCTTAACCCAAATGAATAGAATGTCGCAAATTATAAACCCTACGATTTTGTTTTATTTTGTAGTCGATGTTGTTGAAATTGGTGAAAGTGATCGAAAGATAGGTGAGATTCTGAAAGTGAAACCACTGGCTGCTTTAGCCATGATTGATGAAGGGGAACTTGACTGGAAAATAGTTGCAATTTCACTAGATGATCCTAAAGCTTCACTAGTGAACGATATAGATGACGTCGAGAAACATTTCCCGGTACTCGTCATCTTTACCAGAATATGTATGTACTAATGGAGTGAAAGATTTTACCTACCTAATCCAAGAGTTACCTGCAGGGAACTTTAACTGCTATAAGGGACTGGTTTAGAGACTACAAGATCCCTGATGGAAAACCTGCTAACAAGTTTGGTCTGGGAAACAAGCCTGCAAACAAGGTAAGTAAACAAACTCCATCCCTAAATCTCAATTCTTTGAGCCTTTCGCAATTTTTTGTTTATTGCTCAAAGGGATCATATTTTCAATTCACCAATACAGCATAAGAGCTTGCCTGTGAATACAAGATGGTTGCTGTAGTGTAACATACCTGATATATATATATATATATATATATATACACATACATACATACATACATATATATTACAATTGGGGTGTTGGGAATCCCACGTGACCCATCTTTCCATACTTCCTTTTCTTTTTACTAGCAGCAGTAAATTCTTATTGCGTTCACTTTATTTAAGCAATCTTTGGATCTAGCTTTTTTCTGCCCAAATTTGATCTCCCCTAGCTGTCCCCAACCCCGAGTGAATTAAAAAAATTGACATTGTAACTAATTTTGTTTGATTTATATATTCTTTTAGCTTAAGTTGTAACATGGCATACTTGGTGCAGGATTATGCCCTTAAAGTTATTGAAGAGACCAACAAATCTTGGGCCAATCTCGTTAAGAGATCAATTCCTTCTGGTGAGCTATCTCTTGTATAGAGTTCATTGATTGTAGGAAGCTGCAGGTTCTATTTATGTTAGTGCTCATA